TAAACCGTATTGTCTCAGTAGTATAAGAAACTGAAAAAGTAAATAAGATACAAAAGTTACAATAGATATAGTAAAAGGGAAAGAAACTGCTGGAAGAGAAATTATATTGTTTGATCAGTCTTACATGCCTGTATCTCAATGCCTGGGCAATTACTTTGAGGATAATGATATGCAATGTAACAACCATTGTCAAATTTCTATCATGTTGTTTTGAAATCCTACATCGCCACAGTTTTTTGTTGTTGTCATTTTGCTCTTGCTGGTTTTTTAATTGTTTCTTTGCTTTTCAATTTTTCTGTTTTTTTCTCTTTAAAATAAAAAAATATGAATCTCAATCCATTTAGTCATCTTATAAGCATATCAAATCAACAAATGCTTATAAATCCACACATGTGTCCAGAATTCTGGTATACTGCAGGGAATATGATGATCCTGAGTAGAATCTTGTCAGAGACTGAACTCACAAACAATGGCTGGATCATATATAAAAAAATAGAACTCTGACCCACAATCTCTGTATCAACCAGTCCAAAAAAGTAACCACAGTCTCTTCAGTGACCAACACAAAATAACCTGGACTTGATTGATGACTGTCAGTTTCCTCAGCTTGTTTCCATTTTCCACTTAGCATTGACCAGAGAAAACCAAATTCATGCCAACTGACCGGCGCAGCCCCCCAGTGAGACAGAGGACGCTCTTGTGGGTAACAGGTAACTGCTGCTTTATTGTTGCGGGTTCTGGCTTATATATCTGACTGTAGCCAATCAGGCTGCCACGAGGGCTGCCACGAGGAGGCAGGGTTGGGATGAGACGCGGGCTCTGGCTAATATACCCAGCTGTGGTCAATCAGGGGTTGCCACAGAGTCAGCATGGGGCGAATACGGAGTGAGCACGCGGTGCGCACGGGGTGGCTAATTTGGAGAGGGACGTAGCGCATTGCGGAAGCTGGCGTGGTCCTTAGTCCCGGGTGGGGTATGGTATGTTGAGCGCCTGCGCCCAACACCAACAACTTCCAGTTCTGATGTAAGGGAATAACTGAATACTTTTCGTTTTCTAACATAAATCATTACACTATCCTGTCTGCCTCTAAGTCACCATCAAACAAAAGCGATAGTTCTCTGCTTTGCTACAGCAGCTTGAATGCAAGCTGACTCCCACAACCCCCACTGATGCCAAAATCTGAGGATGCTACAGTCCCACATATAAAATTTACATATAACCTATTCATCCTCTCCCATACATTTTAAATAATCTCCAGATTACATAATACCTAATACAAAGTGAATGCCTTGTAAATAGTTTTTGTACTGTTTAGGAAATAATAACACCAAAAGAAGCTTTGTAGGTTCAATACAGATACATTTTTTTCTTGAATATTCTTTCTGTGGGTGGTTGAACTCATGGATATGGAACCCATGGATACAGAGACTGATTCTAAGCGTTCTTTGCTTGCTCTTTTATTTTCATACCTGGAATTTAGACAATTGTTGTAGATGGTTTCAACTATCAAGTTAAAGACTACAAATACTCATGATTTGGTCATTTACAATTTTGCTAGCATTTGAATTTAAGTTGTAGTCTCTGAGACTGGTATACTAGACAGTTAGCTGGTATCTGCTTACACACATGCAAAAGTTTTGCTTCTGTACTCATATTGCGGCATATGTTCTTTTCTAAAAATTACATTATCTAGACAGCATTTTGTGGGGGCTATTCTGAAAGTATGAGACAATACTTGATTAATCATAAGAGACCGCAATGGAGAGATTTCTAAAGGATCTAGAGTGATTGATTTTGAAGAATAAAAAGTAAACAAAAAATAAAACCTATGAAAGAAGAAAAAGTGCTACATCAACATAAATAGAGACTTGGGAAAAGTATTAGATATAACTAAAGGTCAAGAGAGAGCAGAATATTCAAGTTTATCCAACAAACATTGTCTGCCAACTCTGTAATAAGCACTACTACAGATGCTATACAATGCTATTCAAACCATGTATTTTTCCGTTTTTTTTTCTAGTTTTTTATTAATACATGTTTGTGGTACATAATGATTACATTCTTTTTGGGAAGTTGGTACATATACATAATGCATTTTAATTCTTTTTTAACCCCCCTCCCCCATCCCTCCCTGTCCCATCTCTTGGTATCCTTCCCATTTGCAAAAGTTCTATCTCCCTTCTTTCAACTATCTATCTTTTATTTCTATTTTGGTTTTCTCATCTAAGAGAAACCATGCATATTTAAGATTGTGTGTCTAATTTATTTCACTTAATGTTATGGCGTCAAGATGTATATATTTTCCTACAAATGACTCAAGTTTATCTTTCTTTATGACAGAGTAGTACTCCATAGTGTACAAATACATTTTCCTTGTTCATTCTACTGTTGGACATATAGGCTGCTCCAAGACCTAGCTATTATGAATTGTTCAAGCTACACATGTAACATGAACACACACACACACACACAGGTGAGATTTGACAGGAGGGGAAATGTAAAGATACACATTTCTAAGACTTACCCATATAGAGATAAAATCAGGTAGTAGCACATTCATACAGTCACAGCTACCTGGAAGGCTGAGGCAGGAAATTACTTGAGTCCAGGATTCAGATCTGATCTTGAAAACATATTCAGGGGGCAGAGTGCTTGCTTACCACAAAGGCCCTGGGGTTGAGGCCCAGGTCTCCTGGGCAAGAGTGAAAAGAACAACTGAGATGGTCAGTATGTATCACAGGACAGAAACCCATGTCAGTGTCCATTTTTACAGAGCAGCCCAGCAGAATTACCTTCAAAAAACCAGGGGCAAGGAGGATGTCAATGGGCAGATTAAACTAGGTTTTGAGATTACTTTAAATCAATCTGCCTAGAATTACTTTATCCAATGCAATAGTGTTAGTGAAAGGATTTTGCCCTGAATGGGATGCTGCAGCGGTGGGAAGCTGGGAAGCAGAACACAGGGGCTCTATCTTGAGGTCACCTTCCCCGCCCCGCTAGGCAATTTACCTGTGGCATGAAATGAATTGCAATGGGCTACCTGTGCATCAGTAATGCCCCTTAGGCTCCATCCCAAACCTAAGCTATATGTATGTCCCCACACCACGTGTCCGGCAGAGAGAAAAGCCAGACCTCAGTGGTCCTGGGGTTCTTTCTCCACAGTCTTAAAATAAAGGCCACTTTACTTTATATTCTGGCTTCTAACCACCGAAAACTCTTTCAGTTAGTGGCACTGTTCTTTAGCAGATGCTCGGGAAAGAGGTGTTAGTAATTTATATATTCTAGGTACTATCACTTGTGTTATTTTAATTTAAAACATTTATAGATGAAGAAACGAAGGCACAATAGAGTGTTGAATATCTTCAAGATACATAAAAAATTGTGGTCAGATCAAGAATTAGAATCTAGTTTTCCTGCTCTTAAATCCTGATAGTCATAATGTTATCACTTTTTCAGACTATGCATAAAAAAATCTTTAAACATATTATGACCCTGACATCCTAAAGAATGCTAATAAAAAATAAACTGCAGTTAAGTCCCCAATTTAGGGACATTCAAATTGTGAATTTTCATTGATATGAACAGACCTTCAATTAGGAACATCCCTACATGCAAACAAATCATGGACATGGCTCACATGTCTGCTGGACATTGTCCTAACTGTGCTGCTGTGTGCTTGCTGTATGGTGCGGTGGTTCACAGCAGTACAGTACTCAGTCAGAGCCCAGGATGTCAGGAAGAGGACAAGCAGTGATGTGGAGGGGACTGCTAGGAAGCACAAGGTGACACACATTGTCTATCAGTGTCAAAGATAAAACTCACATTGTCAGACTTAGGAAAAAAGTCAACTATTTTTCTCTCAGAACGGAATTCCTTTGTAAATTGGGGCTTACTGTAGTGCTGGAATAATTTGTCTCTAACCAAACTTCCCTTAATAAGTAATTTCACAGTATTTGTAATGTTTATACTCTGTACAACAGATTTCTGAATAATTTATTAGAGGCACTTTATGCCAATAGTTTATTAGAAACTGATCATATCAAGATATTTTCAGCTTGGCATGGTGGCACACTCCTGTAATCCCTGAACTCAGGTGCCTGAAGCAGGAAGATTGTTGCAAGTTTGAGACCAGCCTGGACTACAAATTGAGCTCAAGGTCAGCCTGAACTGTAATAGCGAGATCTTGTCTCACAAAAACAAAACAGAAATTTTTTCCATTGGTGCTATTAGTCACTAAAGTATGTGGTTTGGTGAAACAAAAGGAACACACTATATCATGACCACAGGGGTAAGAAAAATTTCATTGTATCATCTGCTCAAGATGTGAAACAATGCAATTGTGGCAGACAGTTAAATTAAGATTCTGAAGTCCGCTTTTGTTTTCTAAATAATATAAATAAGGATGCTGGCCAAACCTTTTTAGATACTCAAGGTATTTAAGAAACAAAAAGCCCTCTACTTTAATAAGGGTAACATTTGTGGAGCTCTTACTATGTACCATGCCTTTATCCAAACCCTTTACACATGTAATCCTGGCATATACACAAACCCAAATACAGCAAGTAACATCATTGGTCCCATTTTTCAGGTGAGAAGATCGCGGGGCAGGGAGATACGTATCGTGGCCTGCGTCACAGCAAACAACTCCAAGAGCCTTGGCTCGGTCTACAGACAAATGTTCCTGGGAATTGTATCTTCAAGCCACTTTTCTTTTGTCTTCTGTAGAAAGAGATATTCTAAGTTTCTATGCTGAACTTAGTAAGAAATGGCGCCAGGAACTTTGGGTTAACGGTGGGGCAATCTAGACCCTAGGCCACCTCGCCTGTCTTTTCCCGTTCCTGCCTTCTTGAGGACCGCCAAGCCCTCTAGCCCAGGACTGGCATAATCTTCACCACATCTCCAACAACCAGGCGCTACGCGCCTGCGCTGGCCGGTGTCGCGCCGACGTGACGCAACACGAGCGACGCCGCTGGGCTCCGGGGGCGGGGCCGCGGAGTTGGCCGGCAGGGGGCGGGGCCGGGGCGAGGGCCGAGCCAGGGCCGAGCCACGGCTGAGCTCTGGCCTCCGTGGCCGTCGTTGCCTTAGCGATCTGCCCCTTGCCTCCTTGCCTGCTCTCCCGGCCGAACGAAACAGAGTGCCATCGGTGGCCCTGCCCTGAGGGGCATCGCGGTTTCAGAGGCTCTGCACTATGTTGGGCGTCGTGACGGCTGTCTGAGTGAGGGGCCTCGGCAGTGGCGCCGGGCGGCGGCGGCGGCGGCGGCGGGGCCGGGCCCGGTCCGCTCATGGTGCCGCCACGACGCCATCGTGGGGCAGGAAGGCCAGGTAGGCGGGCAGATGGCGAGGGCCCGGAGAGCACCTGGAGCCCGGCGGCCGCGAAGCTCGGAGCGGAGAGAGGAGGCGGACGGGAGCGGGCGCAGGGACCTTGGCCGCGGGGGGCGGTGGCTCCGCAGACCTCGGGCTTCGTCTAGCTCGCTAGAGAGGCGTCGCCAGCAAATTTTTTTCCTCCAAAAAGGGAGGAGGATGCGTTATAACTGCTGTTCTGCACTCTCCTTGTGAATTGTTTGGATCTAAATCACTGGTTGTAATCATGGGGTTGGTGAGGGAGCTGGAGAATCCTTTTCTCTTACCACCTGAGATGAATGGAAAGGACCCCTCAGGCCCAACGACAAATCACTTACTCTCTGATCACTAAATTCCACTGGAGATGAGGAACACAACCTTTAGATCTAGACGCGCGTCTAGACACTGACCAAGGAGTGGAGTCCTCGGCTGGGAGAAGTGCAAGAAATTTTGCTTGCGTGAAATTCAGAGGCGCTATTTTCTGGTAGTTACCTAGTATTCTTAAATAGATCGCATGCTGAATATTGCTTTTTCCCTTCCCATGAACTTCGCTCAGTGTAATCAGAAGTATACAGCGGGTAACCCTAAAGAAAAACGTCGGTTGTGTTGAACACATTTTCGCAGTTTTTCTTCGGTTTGCCCTTAGTTTCAAGGTGAATTTAAAAAGATGTAAAGAATCTTGATTTGTTGACATTTTTATAAGCGTCATTTTGTGGTGGTTTGTAGGTGGGCTGAGTTCTTCACCTCCTTTTAGACTGAAATCTGCCCGGTTTTCAGGCATTGCTTTTGAAGAGCTCAGAGAGGCCCTCAAAACAAGGTAAATTCTGTGTGCTGTGTGACTTTTCGACTGCACTTTAACAAATGTCAGGTGTTTCTTTATACTTCTCGTCTCATTTTTATATCGTTATTTTTCTAAAAGCATCTCTAATTAGGTCTGTGTTTTCTAAAAACAGACTGCAAATGGTGTGTGTATTTATCATGAACCGAATGAATTCCCAGAACAGTGCTTTCACTCAACGCAGGAGGATGGCTCTTGGGATTGTTATTCTCCTGCTGGTTGATGTGATATGGGTTGCTTCCTCAGAACTGACTTCGGTACGTACCTCTCCTTCCGGAATGATGTTACGTTATAGTACTGGTATCAGTGTTAACTCGTGGTATTTCTAGCAATTACTAGAAATAATGAATGCAGTATGTTAAATGTTGTTGAATTAGTGCTTTTCTTTGATATTGAATTAGTGACATTTAAATTTAAAATTGTAAGAATGCCCTTTGTTTTTTGTTCAGTTTTCTGGTATTTTGTAGTAAGGGTTACTTAGAAAAATATTAATATTTTCTTAATATGTGAAGGTGAGTTTGTTGGGTTTTTTAAATTCATAAATTCAGTTTCTCTGCAAATACTTTTTGGGGGGGAGGGATGAACAACGATTCAGGATACAAAACCAACCTCCTCCACTTAGTAGAGAGTGAGAATATTTTTGAACTGGGGGTTTAGCTCAGTGGTTGAGGTTTGTTTAGCATGTAAGAGGCCCAGGCTTCAGTCTTCAGCACTGCTCTAAAACAAGTAAGCAAACAAAACCCCACTTTTGAAAAAATGAATAAAAGTGATAAAAATTTTCACCCTGCAGGTTACTATTATGCACGTGCATGTAATATATATGTTTGCTGACTGAAACATTAATACGAAGTGTACATTATATGAGTGCCTTCAGTTAAATTTTGTGTTTGATATATTGTAGTGTTTAGAGTTCACAAATCAGTTTTCTTTCTACTCATTAATTCTGTTTGGTTAATGATTACTGTGAAAAAGACAGTTAACTATTTCAACTCACATGTTACAGTCTTAGCATACAAAAGGAAACTGCCATTTACAGATTTAAATGTCAAAGGAGGCAGTTTGATAGGATGGGTCTTTTTACCATCATAGCTAAGTAAAAGTTGACATTGACATTATGTCCTATGAATAAATAATTTTTTGTCCTTTCTGGAATGAAGCTGTGCAGTACAACAGGTCATTTATTTTCACTTTTAAAGCTTTTCAGTAATCTTTTAGATTAACATTCTGTAGTTTTACTTCAAAAAATCTCCTTAATATTGGCAGAGAATTAAACTTAACTTGGAAATTCTGTAGTTTCAAATAAATTGTTTCACTTATTAGGTAAGAAAATTTAGGTAATTATTTTACTTATTAGGTAAGAAAATCTAGATATCACCCAAATCAATTATAATTTAGCAGTTTATGTCTGAACAAAGTAAAAAAAAAAAACCTACTCGTTCAGGATAAACATTTCACAATAATGTAACATGAATTAAAGTGCCATATGGTAATAGTAATTACATTTAGCTTTTCAATTATATCTCAGTGAATCTAGAGGAGAATGTTTAATAAGTTTTATCCAACAACTGATTTAAAGTTTTAATACTTCAGCCAGATAAACTCACAAACTTTTGAGATAAATTGGGTATTTCAAAAAGGGAATTTTTATTATGGAACTTTCTAACATACACAAAATAGAAAGCATAGAATACCTTTAACAATTGTCAATTTTTTCCACTTTTATCAACATTGCTGAAACTTTTCCTGGAATATTTTAAAGAAAATTCTAGCTGCATTTGCCTCAAACTGAAAATTGCTTTTGTTTTTAAAACATAATTACTGTGCCATTGATACTATATAACAAAATGAACTATAATTCCTTAAAATCCCCTGAAGCCAGTTCATATTCAAATGTGCCCAGGGGTATCAAGAACATGTTTTGTTTTGGTTTTTTTTTTTTTTGTTTTTGTTTTTTTTTTTTTTTTTTTTTGATCAAACTCAGAATGTTTTGCTTGCCAGGCTTTTTCTTTTCAGGTTTATTAGGAACTAAACAAACATCACATAATGCTTTGTTGTATAGTTGAAGTCACTTTTATTTTTTATGTGTATTTCCCCACTCTTTTTTATGCCATTGGTTAGAAACAGTAAGTCATTTTTCCTCTTTAAGATGTGTCACACATTTTTGATTTTGCTTGTTACTTCCTTGTCTTTTAACTTATTCTTCTTTTGTTTCCTGTAAAATGATAAGTGGGTATAAAATTCTCACTTAGGTTAAGCTTTTTAGGAACAAATATTTGGGTAATAAAAAGTACTTCCTGTGGCATTACAGTGTGGGTCACGTAGTGACTACTGCAAGTCTGTTTTGGGTGATGCCAGTTTAAACACTAAAATTCCTCACCAAACTATATTTATTTTCATTTATTCATTTTTGATACGAGGAATCAAACTCAGGACCTTGGGCTTGCCAGGCAGGCGCTGTGCTGCTGAGCTAAATCCCCGCCCCCTTTGTCACATGTTAAGTGTGAATGTCCATATGATTATTGCTTTGTAAGGGTTACAAAATGGCTATTTTTCTAAGGATCGTTCTTTCTGCATTAGCTAGAACCCTTAAAGGAGAACTACAACTAGTTATTCTGAAGCACGATTCATGTTTAAAAAGTTGGATAAATCTTTTTATTATTTATTAAACCTTTTTGTTCATTTTAAGAATATAGTTACCTGGCAACTTCCATAGTGACTTGTTAGCATCATTGTAAATTCATTAATTTTTATATATTTTATATGTTTTGTTTTAAAGCTTAAACTATCTTACTTTCACCAGTGGCAGCCCCTTTCAGGTTGACTTTGGGGTCCTTTTAATATGACCTAAATAATTTTTAACATTTTATTTGCTTTCTGGAGCAAGATGCTTCAGGCTTATTGTATACATTTTTTGGGTTTTGGTTTTGGTTTATTTTGAAACAGGCTCTTGCTGTGTAGTTCAGGCTGGCCTTGAACTTACTTTGTAGCCTCGGCTGCCTTCAAACATGTGATCCTATTGCCTCATCTTCCTGAGTGCTAGGATTACAGGTGTGCACCACCACTGGAGTCCTATATGTTTCTTGCCTCATACTTGGATTCGACTGTTGTAGTTTCTGTTAGTACAGAATGGCACAGACTGTCACCTGGGCCCTAAAATTTGTCAAGTTTTTAGGGCTTTTCAGTGCACGTAGAGTGTTTTTCCCTAGGAGACCAAAATGATAACTTTCTATTGATATTTACAATTTATATGAAGAGTGTAGGTTCTTGAATAACTTCCTAAAACATTAAACTTCATGTAATTTTCTTCATACATCATTCGGTTTTATTTTGTTGTTTGATACTTTCTCCTGTGTTCAGGCTGACTCCTTCAGCCCTGCACACAGTTGAGAAGTAGCTTCTCAGGAAACTTCTTAACCTTCCAATTGGTCTTTGTTGAGGAACCCTGAATTCCTGTCATGTTTCTTACCACATCATACTATGTTTTCTTCATTTTTGGTCTCTTATTTAGTGGTAAGTTCAAGCACAGGAAAACCTATCTTATTTTTCTAACCCATAGCACAGGTTTGTTGCATGATAGATTTTCAATAGATGTTGAACAAAACCTTTTCGAAAGTTGTCATTGCTGTGTTTGGCAAAAGGAACCTTCATATGCAAGATAAAGACAATATCAAAATGAATGTAAAATATTTTTATAATCCCTTTGACCTTTCCTATACAAAGAATCTTTTAAGAAATTAAAAATCATATAAAAACTTAGTTTTCTTAGAGACGATTGATAAGGTTTAAAGTCCCTTCAGAGTTATCTGTGTAACTTTTTCCTCTACAGTATGTTTTCACGCAGTACAACAAACCATTTTTCAGCACCTTTGCAAAAACATCTATGTTTGTTCTGTACCTTTTGGGATTTATTATTTGGAAGCCATGGAGGCAGCAGTGCACAAGAAAATTTCGAGGAAAGCATGCTGCTTTTGTAAGTTTTTAATTTTGTTTGTTGGGGAGGGTATGAGTTTTCAAAGTTTAAAGATGTTTAACTTCATTAAATAGAGTTAGATTTTAAATTGTTTCAAGTAAGTATTGATAGAATACAAGAAAAATTAGTTTTGTTCAAAATTTTAAATGTATCCTAATCAACTTGATAATCAGAGTATCTTGTACGAAATCAAAATGTATAATCACTTTCCTTCTCCCTTACCCCATGATATGTTTTGAGTTGTTAAAAATTGTTGAAGTAGCCCAAATTAATTAACGTGAAAAGGAAGATGGCAGAAATAAGAGTATCTAGAGTCTTAGATTATTTGTAGGTTGGAGGAGTATCATCTAGTAGTTACAAGAGTCTATTGTTGAAACAGAATAATTCCATTTTATATATTAAGATAAAAACTATTTCAGGGCATGTTTAGGTATTTGGCTAGTCAAATTCTGTTCTTGCACTGATCTGTTTAACGTGCTCATTCAGAGGTACTGGAAATGTACTCATTAGGTAAGACAGGAAATAATGCTATTTCAACCACCCCCTCCCAAAAAAGTACAAACAAAATAAAAGGACTGATGGAAACAAAAGAGATACAGTAATTACTGGGGCGTACATAAGTGGTAGTTTATGTAGTGGTAAATCTTCCTTGTAGAATTAGAAACGAATTTTTGAGAAGATAAAACAACTGCTTATATTAATCCTTTTCTTCTTTTAATATACAACATTGAATTTGCCACCTTAACCTTTTATCTTTTCCCCTTTTTTAATATTCTAAGATACATATAATGTGAAATTTACCATTTTAACCATTTTTAAAGGAAGAGTTTGGTGACATTAGGTATACTCACTTTACTGTGTAACCATCATCACTATTTATCTCTAGAACTTTTTGTCATCCCAAATGAGAACTGTGGACTCATTAAACTCAAGCCCCTAACCTCTCTTCCCTAAACCCCCAGTAGCCCCTGTATCTCTTCTGTTTCTACTAGTCTTTTTATTTTGTTTGTACTTTGAGCGAGTAGTGTGTGAAACAGAATTATTTCCTATTTTATGAGTACATTTTTGAGAAATGTGCTCATTAGATTTTTTAGGAGTCTTACAATACTTTTAAAAATGAAGTCTAGAAATATCACTCATGCGTACAAATTTAGCTTACTAAAATATGAATGTGTATGTCTTGTTTTGCAAGAGAAAATCATGCATTATAGAAGTGCATGTGCAGTGTTCTTTGCCATACAGGAAGACATTGTATATTGTAATATGTACAGAAAATACAGTGGAACAAAGAGGAGAAAATAGTAAATTCTGTCAATGAAGGAATAACCACTAATGTATCCTGCTACTTTTTTTTTAATGTATTTTTTAACTTTATTTTTTACAAAAATAAGATTTGTGTCATTATGTCCTGTTTTATAATTTACTTTCCCACTTAGTAGTATATCATGAAAAATGTTATAATTTAGAATTACTGAAATATTTTTATTTTTAATTATGTTGGTAATAAATAGTCATTGTTGAAGGTAAATTATGGTAACAAGAAGAGTAAGAATAATCTGTAATCCTGCCATCTCAAGACCAGTGAAAATAATTGATACTATCTATAGCTTTACATTTGTGTTTATATTAAAAATTATGTGTAGCAGAAATAGGTTCAGGTCTTAATCATTTGCTGACCTGATTTTGTTTTTGTTTTTTTTTTTAATGTATCATGAATGCCTGTCCAGGCAAATAAATAAAATAGATCATATTTTATTTTCCTATTTTTTTAACCCTTGACAGATTGTTTTGTTTTTCTTCTGATATAAAAAATAGAGATCTCTTTATACTGTACTAATCTCAGTTGTTGGTTGATAAATTTCTAAAAGTACAATTCTGCATAAGAGTAATATTTTTAAAGCTCTTGTTACTGCCAAATTATAGTCAGTAATGCTTATACCAATTTCTGTCTCAATGTATGAGATTTAACACTTGCCAGAATCCCAACAATTAACATCTTGTTTAATCTACATATTTTGGATAACTTTTTCCCTATTTATTGGAATAGAAGAGTTTGTATGTCACCTGTGTACTTTTCTACTTTTAACTGTTTTTAAAAAATGATGTGTATAGGTTCTTTCAGAAGATGGACTGTTGTGTTTGAATCTTTTTGACAGTAGTGTGATCTTGGGCAGGTTACTTAAGTTTTGACACTGGACAACTAACTTGAATTAAAATGAGTTTTAATTTCTCCTATTTTGATAAACTCTCAGCCTCAATTTCCTTATTCTTAAAGAGAAAATGTTATTATATGCCCTGTATGGCTGAATACTTGGCATTAGCTATTATTGTTACTACATAATAAAGTGTTGTAGGATTATTCTGGATTTTTGGCTCTATTTGTTTGAGTGGTATCTGACTACCCCATACCATAAATTTAATTCAATACTGTATTTTGTTATCTGTATTTAGTTTGCAGATGCTGAAGGTTACTTTGCTGCTTGTACAACAGATACAACTATGACTAGTTCTTTGGTATGTGTTTCTTTTCTTGATTGGCCATGGCAGGGAGAACTCAAATAGCTCTGATGGCCCCCCTAGCTGTATTAGGAGATGTAACTCAATATTGGGTGCCCTCTATGATAATTACAATATGGTACTTTTTTTCCTTAGGGAGAGCTGGAACCTACAGGTAAGCAATTCAGCTACCTTTGAAGAGACAGGGGAGAGGTAAACCACTTAAGGGGTGAACATAATAAAAAACAGTCCTTTGTTTTTTACCATCTTTCCAACTTCATGCTCATTATTATCATTTGGAAACATTTTTGCCTGGTACTGAGAATATACATGCAAAATGTTCATTCATTTATTCCATAAAATATTTTAGAGCAACTTACGTGAAACACTTATTCTAGGCTGTGGCAGTAAAGTTTACATGGGTGTGATCAAAATGTACAGCAAATGTTTAAATTTTAAAAACTTTATTACAGCAAAACATACATTGCTGTTAATCCTCCTCAAAATACTTCCCCTCATTTTGAAGACACTTACCCCATTGTTCTTACTGCTTTCTGGCCTTGAACTCGCAGTGATCCTCCTGCCTTGGCCTCCTGAGTGCTGAGATTACAGGCCTGTGCCGACATACCTGGCTGTTTCTTGCAGCTTTCTGAAGCAATTTTAGGAATCCTCTTTTGCGAGTGTTTTCACAAGCTGTAATAAAAAATACAGTGAATTCTGCTGCCAGATGCCATCCAATTGTAAAGAGGGCTCATAAAAAAAAAATTACAGTATATCTTCACTTTATTCACCAGACCTGGCACTGTGTGACTTCTGGCTGTTCCTTAAAGTCAAAATGACAATGAGAGATAAACATTTTTGATTAGTTCTGAGCATTGTAGGAGCCATGACAGCACAAATAAAGACATAGAGCATGACTTCCGGAGCTGCTTCATAAAGTGACAAGGACACTGGGTTAAGTGTTTTCAGGGTGACAGGGCTTAAAGGCAGTGTCTTTTACTGTAATAATTTTTTAAAAATTTAAACACTCATGTTTTGATGACACCTGTATGTTCTAGAGTGTTAGAATGTTTGAGGAGCGGGAAAGCAGAGGTAAGAGGCAAATGAATTAAATAATTGGCATACTTATTTTAAGTATTTATAATCTAGTTGGAGATGCTTATGTAAAGTCCATTCTTTTTTTTTTTTGTGTGTGTGTCTTTTTTCGTTTTTATCGGTACCAGGGATTGAACTCACGACTGCCTGCTTGCAAGGCAGGTGTTTATGCCGCTGAGCTAAATCCCCAGCCCCCAAAGTCCATTCTTTTAAGACCATCACTAAGGCATCTCTTTGAAATATGTTTTTGACAGTACTTTTCTTTCCAGATGTGGAATTGTGAGAGAATTTAAAGTTACTCTAACGTACAAGTTTGTGAAGTACTAGCTTGATGGCTTTATTGAAAGTACAGATTTTTGACTGTTAATTTTTTTTAGGACTGTTGTGTGCCAACTATGATACTGGGTACTAGGAAGAATTTAGTGAAGTTTGGTGAAAATGCCATTTTTTCCCCTGAATTTTAAGCACTGACAAGGTAGTGTAGTATCAGTTGTGTCTCTCAGTGCAGAAGGTGGTGTTGAGGTGGCAGCCTGTTTTCCTGACGACTCTTCTTCTAAGTTTTGCTTTTATCTCTAAGGTGAATGTATCAGATTGTTCTAGGCCAGGTGTTAAAAGGAAAAGTCAATGTAATGAAAAGATTATTCTTTTCCAGACACTATAGTCCTTTGATTTATGGAGTATTTTTCATTCTAAAGTACCAGGAATGAAAAGAAAAGTCAAAAAAACACAAACAAAAGTTCTGTTAATCTTTAAGATATAGTCTAGTTGAAGAATTGTTCTTTAAATAAAGAATGTGTAGAGAATATTTGTAAAACTTACTGAGGCATTTAGAATCACTTAAAAATATGGGTCTTAAGAACATTAGAAACCTTGCTTTAATTCTGTTGTCTACAACTTGGTTATTTTATATCTCTGCTTCTAGAAAAGTTCCTTTAACATGTCTTGTTTCATAAAGTTATTTTGAGGACTAATGAGAAATGCATGTTTAACTGCCCTGGACTGGTATGTGGTACATAGTAAGAATTGATAAATAGAAGACATCTTTGTTTTTGTTGTTATCTGCTAACCACATAAAAGCTTTCAACAATTTTTGGTTTTCTCTTGAAATTTATGTAATAAAGCAATTTGACTAATACTGTATGTAAATATATTATACATGTACATACACATATGTTCATGTATAATGTATTTATCAGCTCATTGTCTGCTTTCCTCTTTGAACTATGTGATCATTGTGTTTTCTTATCCCCAGAACCTATAAAAGTACTTGACACGTAGGATCTCAATATGTTTTTTGTTTGTTTTTGGGAAGACAGACAGAGTCTTGTTATGTTGCCCAAGCTGACCCTGAGTTCCTGGGCTAAAACGATCCTCCTTTCTTAGTTTCTGTGTAGCTGGGTTTATAGGCTCATGCCACCATGCTTTGCACTCAAATGCATATTTTCTAAAAGAAAGCATGAAAAGGTGTGGAATACAATCTGTTTGCTGAGGGAGAGGTCTGTGTGACCTTTAAATACTAATTGTTACAATGTGCCAAAGTCTCTTAATACTACATTTGTAGGTGCTGATTCTTGTTTGTTACTGTACCTGTGTGGATCAGTTGAGCTTCCTTCTTAAGTTTTTAATGTTTATTTTGGGAAATTTATGCTGCATAAACATGCTGAATTAGCTATGTTTTGGATACAATCTGGCTCTCCATCCCATCCATTTAAATTTTAGTCAGTATGTCAGCTTTTATTTGGGCTACTTATATTTGTTCCTGTTATGTTGCAGAGTGAACCACTGTATGTTCCTGTGAAATTTCATGACCTTCCAAGTGAAAAACCTGAGAGCACAAACACTGATACTGAAAAAAGTGAGTAATTTTGAGATTGAGAAATGAATGGAAATTTTAGCTTCTTCAGGCCCCCCCTCAAACTTAATAATTTTGTGGGTTGTCTAGGATCACCTGCTAGTTTTGTTTCATATGGATTGACATTTCCTGAAGTGTCCTAGAAGTTTGAATGGATTGTTTTTGTATCACTTCAACTAGAAGTAATGTCAGAATCTCTGTGGTTCCAACGTTTGCATATGCATGTGTTTGCAGTACTGGGGAATGAACTCAAGACCTTAGCACTGAGCTACATTCCAGTCCCCTTTTAAATTTATTTTGAGATGAGGTCTTACTAAGTTGCTGAGTTTCCCAGATTGGGCTTGAACTTGATCCTTCTGCCTCAGCCTCCCAGATCACTGGGTTTACAGATGCGCATTATCACACTTAGTCTTTTTTTTTTTTTTTTTTTTTTAAATGAACACTGTTCTGTTGAACATGTACTTAAAGACCCTAATATCAAGTGATAGGAGTTTGTGAATCTTAAAAGATTCTAGTTTCACTGTAAGGTGTTTATCCATAATTTCCTTTGCAAGGAATGGTCCTAAAAAGGAGTGTTCAGCATGCTTTTCGAGGAAGATAATTTTCGTAAGTTGGGTATCTATGATGAAAAACCGAAATATAAATGCTAAAATAATCATATGAAAATCCTGAGCTAAGCAGTTGTATATGCACAGCTGGTCTGAATATTGCTCTTATTTGAAATTCTGTAACATTTTTATAGATGAGAGTGAGTAAAGCTGCTCAGTGTGATAGTACAACTGTTTTTCTCTGAGTGGCTTACTCTGATAAGAAATGAATGAAATAATATGCAGTTATGACTAAATTAAAACTTGTGACTTTAGTTAGATGAAAGGGCACATGTGATAATTTTGCACTATGCTTTTCTTTTAAGCTCCCAAAAAGTCTCGAGTAAGGTTTAGTAACATCATGGAGATTCGACAGCTTCCATCAAGCCATGCGGTAGAAGCAAAGTTGTCTCGCATGTCCTATCCTACTGTGAAAGACCAAGAATCCATATTGAAAACTGTGGGGAAACTGACTGCAACTCAAGTAGCAAAAATTAGCTTTTTTTTTTGCTTTGTGGTAGGTTTTTTTTTTTTATTACATATTTGGAACTTGAATTTTTAGATAATATATAGGTGATATTTATACCAATAATTTAATATTGAAGTGTAAGACTATTAGGTTAAGTATGACATTAGGCTGCCATGTGGCAACATTTGGGAGAGTATAAAAATTAGCAAATGCTTATATACCTTAAAGAATTAGTAGTCATTAAATCCTATAATATCTGTTCATATGCATGCATGCATACATACATACATACACACATACAATTTAGAAATTCTTCAGAATTTACCATTACCTCAGGATCAGAACAATGAAAAGTTACTTATACTATGATTTATACAAGGGCTAGTAAATATCCAGATAAGAGTTTATCATATCCATTTATTTCCTCAGATAACTGTTTTTACATTAAATTTTTATAAATGTAGTTAAGTATTGTTTTAGCAAATGTTCATAATGAATATTTTTATAGAATTTCTTAAGTACAATTTATAGTCTATTATTCAAATATAGAATCTGGAAAATGTCCTTAAGAGTTCAAGGAGAATGACAGTATGATAAGTAGAGTATTTTTATTTTGGGCTACTAGAATCTGAGACTTGCCTGAGTTTGTGAACTCTAAAAATGAATTTCAGGGATACTTTATGTATATATTATATTGAATGTAGCCTAACAGAAAATTGTTTAATATGAGCCTTTAAGTTTCTAATTTATAACTAGGCACTTTAAACTAGTATACTATGCAAATGTCAGTATTATTGGCCTGAATTATAAGGTGTTTTGTTTCATAATTTTGCCTCTTACACCGATTGCATAGCTTATTTGTCTCCATTTTCTGGCTAAGTAACCTCTACCTTAATGATACTTTGATAAATATATTCCTCTATGCAAAAATGTTTGGGAATACATGATTATGGAAAAAATTATATGTATGGTATATATAGTTATATTTATAATAAAAATAGTCATATATTTTGAGTTATACTCTCAGTTTGACTTGTGTGTGCTTGTTTTATTTTGTTTATTTATTTATTTTGGTACTGAGAGTCAAACTCAGGGCCTTGCGCCTGCCAGGCAGGCACTGTGCTGCTGAACTACATTCTCAGTGTGCTTGTTTTAAATATGTAAAACAGGACTAAAATTATATTAATTGTATGCTTCCTTTCAAAGGAACCTTGAGGTGATATATAATGATAGCATCTCAGTGATAAACATTAAAACAAGCCAGATTAAATCGGTAATAAGGACAAGATCTGGCTGTAGTGTAAGAGATTATATCAGGAGATTTAATTTAAAGGAAGAAAGCTACCTAAAGTGGGTACAGAACTCATCTGTAGACAGGTGTCAGGAGGACCAGAAGGAAAACCTCTGAGTTACACACACTTGTTTATTGAAAGGAAGTATCTCCCTTCCTTGAATAAAGCAAAACTTTGCTTCAATTTTAAACAGAGAAAGACGGTACTGTGGAACATATGTTCCAAGACCTCAAGCACATGCCTGAAGCTGGGGAGGGTGTGAACCTATGTATACTGTGTCTTTTTTTCCTGTACATACATAACCATGAAAAATTTTCTAAATTAAGGATAAAGAAAGGGTAACAATAGAATAACAGAAATAGAGCAATTGTAACAATGTATTACAGTAATTATTACCACCTCTTGCAGCCCCAGACATCTATCGCTCTGCTTTCTGATTCTGTGAATTTGAATGCTTTAAGTACTTCTTATGGAATCCTACATTATTTGTCATTTCATGACTGCCTCATTTCACTTTGTTTAATATCCCAGAGGTTCATCCATATTGTGGCACATGCCTCTTCAAGGCTGAGTAAGATCTCATTGTGTAGATATACCACATTTTATTCTTTCCTTTATCCGTAGGCACTGAGGATACTTCCGTTATGAGTATTTTTTAGAAAATCAACCTGAAACACACTGTGAGAGCTTTGTCAGTCTTCAGTAAGTGTGTAGGAGGAAGAAAAGGGACTATAAATTGTAATGGCAGCTACAAATATGCCTTTCATTAGGTTTCATTTTATTGTTCTTTTTTTTAGTGGTTTTTGGCAAACTTGTCATATCAAGAAGCACTTTCAGACACTCAGGTTGCTATAGTGAATATCTTGTCTTCAACTTCTGGTAAGAAATTTGTGTTCCGAATCTATACTGTAAATTGATACATTTCTTATGTGTGTGTCATACACATACTTCTATTTTGTTATAACTTTTTACATTAGTTGTCATGTATTTTTGTATATTTTAGCTGCTTAATATTTATAGTTTCCTGCCTTAGCCCTGTGCTCCTTACGTTTCTTCAAGTACATTGCAGTGTTTTTTATACAACAGTATATTGAAATGGTACAGGTTGGCTCTTTGTATTGTGGTTGTCTTACCCTGTGTATATCTTTGTTAAAGATCTTTTTCTAAACCCTTTGGCTAAATGTAATTGCTTATTTCAGAACTATAATTTGCCCTATGGTAGGTGTTTTATTTTTAAAATTGAATCACCTTCCAAATCTGGCAGATAAGAGAAGTAATTTTAAAACTGTAAAAATAACTTCAGCACCACAGGTGTGGTTATGTTGAGGTGACAGTGTTACTCGGAATGCTTAATTTAACTCTTTTATTTAAAAATAAATGGGACTATACTTGATCTGTATTGTCAAAATCAGCATGGTTTAGTTTAGAAGCTGTTTTTATATATATCTTCATACATTTCGGCATAGGTAACTAAGTCTCATTCTTAGTTATTTAAAATGACAAGAAAATAGTTGTATAATTTACCTAAGTATTAAATTGGTTAGTAGTAATGCTGACAACTCATGTACTTCTTTTTTATCCTTTTCTCCTAATAGGACTTTTTACCTTAATCCTTGCTGCAGTGTTTCCAAGTAACAGTGGCGATAGATTTACACTCTCCAAACTACTGGCTGTAATTTTAAGGTAAAATGCAGTATAAGCTAGTTTACTCTGCTTAAAAAATATGATGTTTAAATTTCTAGTTGTGATGCAGGATAGTTTATTTTATATTATAATACTCAGGACGAAGACAGCAATAAATGGACATTGTTTCTCAGCCCTGCTTTATACACTAGCACTGTTTTCCAAACCTTCCTGGATGGGTTAACTGGAAGGGAAAGACCCCAAGGCAGCGATGCTGCCATTCACGTAATTGGAGATTTACTAAGTCTCATCCTGATACTCACATGTAACTTAGTGAGGAAATGAATCATCATGACTTTCAGGGTATCTATTCCTTTTCCAAGACAATTTCCTATTTTTGTTGTGACTTTGATTTGTCCTTCTTCTACTTTGCCTAAAAATTAACATTGTTTTCTCTAATTGTCTCAGCCTACAATGATCTTTCATTTATTTTACATGTAATTCGTTCGGAAATTTTACATCACTACATAGCAGCAGCATTATCAGTAACTGTACTTAAATCTTTTATTTTTATTTAATTTTGTGTTTGTCTTGTCTTTTGTATTGAATTGTAAACTTTTGGTGGCTAAGGTATTGTTTTGTACTTCCTTGTGTCACTAAAGCCTAACAGGGTTTGCTTATTTATAGACAGTACTAATAATGTATTGGTTTGAGAAAGCTATTATTTTTGTGAGAGAAAACCAGAAATCAAAGAGAATAGCAGAATCATTTAATGATGAGAGTAATATTTCTTAGGGCAGAACTGGGATTGATTGAGAGTTCTGTATTTTGTCCTTGGGCCGTTCTCTTAAACTGTGAAAACCTTTCTTAGTTGAAGAAAGGATGATCATATTATCTACTTTGCATCATTGTTTTAAAGTTTGGAGCCTTGTATATAAAGTACTTGTCATATAGACTGATGTTGGCAGGCATTGAACCAGTAGCTCCAACTGAATTTTTCTCTTCAGATGTGAGGGACAGTTGACTGTAGTAGTTTCACTGAATAATCTGGTTGACCCAGCTCATTTACTTTTTAAACACCACAGGTTTGTTCTTCTGCACGATTGGCTAATGTCTTAGCCAAGTATTTATTTTTGTGCTGGGGAGTAAATTTGTATTTTGGAAGTAAGTGAGGTTTTATTCAACTTTATTAAAGTTTATGCTAATTTTTAACTTTTCTTTGTAGTACCTAATAAGATTTTAATCAAGACAGAAATAGATTCACGATGTTGAACTTGCAAGTATTTTGATAGATTCTGTTACTCCTCATTAAAGTTGATCTAGAACTGTAGTGGGCTAAGCTGGGCCATCCATGAGTTTTGTAAATAAAGTATTGTTATTCTGCATGCATTTTCATTTATTTGCCTGTTGTCTATGGTTACTTGAGTGTAACAGCAGTAGAGTTGAATTGCAACATAAACCATATGGCCCATAAATCTAAAATATTAGTGTTTGCTAACTGGGTATAGTGGTGCACACTTGTAATCCCAGTACTGAAGAGACAGGCAGGAGGATTGCTGTGAGTTTAAGGCCAGCCAGCTACATAATGAGTTCAAGGTTAGCCTGAGCTATGTAGTGAGACCCTGTCTCTAAAACAAAAAACCAAACTAATGTGTTCACTTGACTTTTAGTCTAGCAAATTCGATATCTAGAGTTTTTAAAAATATTTTATATATTCTGAAGAGTTTCATATTAAAAATTGTATAAAATTATTTTGACTTGGCCTTAAGCAATGAGATTGAATTTCTGAAATTACAAAAAGAATTTGATATCTTAGCAACACTGAAGGAAACCTAGTGAGCTGAAAAATCTCATTTCTTCATCTATATCTTATTCCACTTTCATCATTACTAGTCTTGAGATTTGGGGGAATTTTTTAACCTCTTGGCTTATTTCCTATATGTAAATTGAACATAATAGAACTTGTTTTGGGATTGTTATGAGAGTAAAATGAGCCAAAAGTTCTAAGGTATGTGGAACAATGTCTGGTATACAATAGCTACTCAGTACTATTTAGCCATCATCAACATCATCTAAATGGAAAGAAAACCTCTAGTGTCTAGTAAATTACGATTATGCAATAAGCAATATGACTTTTCAGTATCCTTAATTCTGTTTATTATCCATTAAAGTCATAGGATTAATGGAACTATTTAAGTGTGTAAGAAGAGTTTTACTGTTCATTGAGTTTTTTTTCAGTTAGCAAGAATAATGCCATTGCTAAATGTGTATAAGTTTATTTTTGTCACTGGAAGATTGACTGAGGGATGACCAATCAGTTAATTATTTCATAAGTGAAAAACAGTATATGAGAGTGTTGGTTGTGTTTCCAGCTGTGTGACCTTGATCAACTTACGTCACTTCTGTACATTATTTTTCTTGTGTATAAAGAGAATGTCAGTGGTGAGGATCCAATGATTTAATACAAGTATAGTGCTATACTTATAATATCACTGGGGGTAATTATGTAATCACAACATTCTTTAACAGTTTTGCCTGAAGTTGATACTAGTTTTGATCACTTTTAAATAACTTTTATAAGGCTAGTCTTTTAAGAATTATTTAAAAAAAAGAATGGATTATTTTACTAATCAGGAGTGACTTTTTTTATATATATATATGTATATAGCATTGGAGGCGTTGTGCTGGTAAACCTGTCAGGGTCTGAAAAGTCTGCTGGAAAAGATATGATAGGTAAGTACGACTCTGCAGCTTCTCTGTTAATGACAGTATAAAGTTCTCTACTAACTGTCAAGTGTGCACACGCAAGAGGTGGACCCTAAGCCAGGCCTTTTCTTTTATTCAACTTTTCCTTTTGAAATAATGTGAAAAAAATATAGAATTCATGTAAGCTTCACTCAATTCTCTAGATGTTAACAATTTACATATGGTGTAGCTACAAAAATTAGAAATTAAAATTCATTTTAATATTGTTATCTATTATAGACCCTTTTAAAATTTATTCATTTGTTTCAGGATCTTTTGTTGTATTTTAGTTTCCTTTAATCTGGAACTGTTCCTTTTTGACTTCTATGACATTGACACTTTTGAAGGATACTAGTTTTTTTGTACAATGCCTCTGATTTAGATTTGTCTGATATTTCCTTATGGTTAAATTGAAGTTGTACATTTTTAGTAAGAGTATTGTGAAAGTAGTATTATATCCTGGTCTAATGTTAATTTAACTCATTACTAGAGGTATTAATTTTAATGTGGATCCTGCCAGTGTGGTCCAGTCTAACAGTACTAATTGTTTTCTTTGTATGTGATAAGCATCTTGTAGGGAGACACTGTGAGAGCATACAAATATCCTGTCCCTGTATTACTCTCTCATACTAATTTTATCATTCACTTTTGACTCTTACTGAAACAGTTACTACTATGGTGGATATTTAATTTTTGATCTAGTGAATAGATTTAACAAAACCAGAGATGATCAGTTTAGTGCTTTTCTCTCGTTTTTTTAGAAATTTGAAGTTTAGTGTCTAGAAGAATGCCTCCTAAACTACTTTTGATTACTGCTTAGTGAACTGTGCCTTGATCTGCCTTACCTCTTCCCAGAGCAGCTTTGTTATAGAGAACAATTTATATATTTAGGTATTTTGTGTGTAAAGTTTTGTTGACTGATCCGGCCTGCGGATCAATCCATGGGGTGTACCTGGAGGAAGAACAGGGATCAAATAAAGACATAGGGAAGACAAAGAGAGATGGAAGCAAGTCGAGAGAGTCCGATCAAGCTCTGTTTTATTCCGGAAGTGATTACATCTTTTATAGGGAAAGGGCAGGCTGGTGGGACAGGAAGAGGCTATGGGGATGAATACGACAGGGTCACCGTCACATCCGGGTATGTGACGTAAACAGGAGAGGATTATGGTTAATGTAGGCAGACGCATTGTGCCCATAGGAGAGAGAGAGGCGGGGAGACAGCAATGGGGCTGTCTGCGGCTCCCTACATCTCCTCCCTTTCTATCTTATTTAATCAGGAGTATGGCATGCCCTGCCAGACAGCATCTGTCTTAGGTCAAGGACCTCACTGCATGAATCCAACCAGGCCTTACCCATCATGGGCTTGCAGAACAGCAGTTGGTCCTGTGCCTGTCTTAGGTGGCCGTTGGAATTAACATGCATGTCCTAGTTGCCCATCTCTGACTGCCTGTCCATTGCCCCAGGGCAGTTAGGCTGCATTGTCATTTGGGCCACTTGTGGGAATTCCTTTCTGGTAGGTTTGTTGGATCTGCCATCTCCAGCTGATGATAGTGTATCTGAATGGGCTTTGCCATAAACGCGTTTATCCGGTTATTAATGAGCGTCATAATCTTCTGAAAAATACAAGGACTCACAGAAAGGAGAAGCAATAGGGTACTAGGGGACCCAAAAGGGGCACTAGGTAAGGGAAAAGCTCCCCCAACACACACTGAGGAGAAAGGGTCGGCAGCCATTTGTTGTTGTCGTTGTTGAAGTCGTTTTTCTATTTTTTGGAGCTTGTCTCGCATAACACCGGACGCAGTCTATTTGGCTGGTTTATGTTCCTCCAGATCGAGAAGAGCATCTTTTGCAGTCACAGGGGGTTGTGTGCATGGCTGTCAGCAGTTTTAGTCTGTTTGGCAGGGGTCTAAATCCACCATGGGTGTGGTACGGCTCAAGGAGCAGGCTGAGTAGGCAGCATAGGGCACCGGGGAGTTGTGTCACCTGTAAGAGAACACAGGAGATTGTGCCTCAGGAAATGACATTATTCCTGGCCGTTGCATGGAGTCTTTGAAGAACTGTCTACTTGTTTTACAAGGTGCTCAGGTAGCCATCTAGCCTCTCTATCCTGTTGAGAATAAACACATACTGAACCGCGTCTCCATATGAGAATGGGATCAGGGACATGCCATGAATTAGTCAGGGGGTCTCACCATAGTACAGAAGCAAATTGCTTTTGTGTTTCAGTATGCCAAAAACGCATGGCTGCTGACTGTCTAGAAGCATCCATATTTTAAAAATTAATGATGAATAAGGCATGAGATAGAATATTTTTAGGTGTCCTCCTTGTGGTACCATTCTCCCTTTTTTATTTTATCAACAGTGAGTTTTAGGGAGAGATGTGCCCTTTTAACTATGCCTTGACCTTGAGGGTTATAAGGTATGCCTTTTATATGATCAATATTAAGATATTGACAGAAACAAGCAAAGGCAGAACTAGCATAGCCTGGACCATTATCAGTCTTTAATTGTTGTAGGCATCTCAGAACTGATAAGGTAGTTAACATATGGCTAATAACGTTTGGTTGCTTTGCCAGTCTGGGGAGAGGTATAAATGAAACCTCCAAAAATATTTATAGTTACATGAAGATATTTAAGATTGCCAAAGCTCAGGAATGTGGGTGACATCCATTTGCCATAATGCATTGAGGATAAGTCCTTTAGGATTAACCCCAAGTGTGGAATTGGGAGGTGCATGGCACAAGAAAGGCAATTTTTTACTATCTCTCTGGCTTGTTCTATAGTGATCTTAATACAGAATTACAGAAAAACGGCAAGAAATCAACAGTAAGTTTCATATTGTCGTCTTAGAAATAGCTGTTCAGGCTACAAAATTAAAGCATGCAAAGTGACATTCAAATAGTGACATTGCCAACCGCTCTGCTCAATGATCCAACAAAAACCCAGTAACATGTTTATCAGTCACACACTTGGCTTCCATCTCAAAGAGGGCAAGACCAAACATATCAAAACAGAACAAAACAGTTAAAAAAAGATTTAAAGAAACACAGATTTCAAAGCAAGTCTACTGGAGATCTTTACTGTTTATCTAATTGTCTCTAGTTTCCTCCAAACAGTTGTCCCCATCTTCACGCACATTAAATACACACTGCATATTATAGAACTAAACACATATTACAGGATGATGAAGGCTTCTAAGGTTTTAAGATCTGACATTAGGGAAGACAATAACTACCATAGTGTCTCTCATTCTCCTTTTAGCAGCTGTCCCCATCCTTACATATGCTGAAATTAAACTTAAGAGACTAAACCAGTATCACTCCGATCAGTTAAATGAGTCAAAGTAATTGACATTGGAATCTCCACCTCTGGAGTCTTTTCTGTAAAATGACCAGTCTCTCCACAGGCAAAACAGTCCTGTTCATGCTTTTGAGACAAGAACTGTTCAACTGCAAATCCCTGCAAGGCAGCAGCCACAGCAAAGGTGTATATATCCTGTTAGGCCTGTTCTATTTTTATGAGGTCTGACAGCGGCTGGGCAGATAGTGCCAGCGCCTTTAAAAGCCAGCTGTTCAACAAAATCAGTGCCTGCATCATCGTGACCAAAGACTTTGCTAGCAGCAGCAATCAAACAATCAACAAACTCTGAAAAGGGCTTATCTGGGCCTTGCTTAATGCTAGTGAGAGAGGAGCTCATATTATCTTTTGTAGGCAGCTTTCTCCATGCTCGAGTAGCTGCTGTTTGAATTTGAGTGAAAAGTGTTGGATTAAACTCCTTTTGAGCCTTTCTGCATGCATAGGCATCTTCCACTATTAACATATTAAGGTCTCACCCATTGTCAGCCTGTGTATTGTGCCTGGAGGTCTCTTTGCAATTTTTGTATATTCCGATTTTTACAAAAGATTATCCCCACCCGATAAAGTCACTCGGGCCAATCTTTGCCAATCTGTAGGTGTGAGCCAGCCGTCAGCCAGAGAATTTAAAACAGCAAGAGTGAAAGCAGCTATAATGCCATACTGGGCAACAGCTATCTTTAATTCTTTTAAAGCTGCCACTGTGAATGGCATATGGGTCTTAATGACTTGTGGAGCTAGCAGCACAGCGCCCGTGCCGTCTTACAGCTGTGCGGTGCCATCTTGGGGAGGTACGTTTGTTTCCGTCACCAGAAACACCATTTCAGGGAGGGACCCACGCTGATGTGGCAGAAGTGAGGCAAGCGCCATTTTAAGAGTACCATGAGGCCTGCTGGAGGCAGGCGCCATCTTAGAGGCACTATAAGGCTGTGCAGCTCGGAGGGCCTTGTGCAACCATCTCCTCAATCTGGGGATCTGCATGCCGCTGGGCAAGCAGCTCAGAGATTAAATTCCAATATGCAAAGGTGGTCACTGGAACCTTTTTCCAGACCAAAAACTCTATAATAATCTTTTAAAGCATCTCTTACTCTTTTCCACCTCTTGGTATCTATAGAACCCTCTAGGGCAAACCTTATGGATAAATTGAAAATACTGCAATAGTTCTTCTGTTCTAACTCTTACCCCTCTTGTCTTTAATGCCTTTTTAAGGCCTCCCACGAACAATTCATGTTCGCGCAATGCTTGACCCATGTCCGGGAAAGGGAATGGGGTCGCCGTTCACTTACCATGACTCGGGCAGGACGTTGGGTAGTTGTCTGTGCAGGCCTCGGTACTTGATTTAATGTCCTGTTGCTTTTAGCTTTAATCCTTGATTTAGTTTGCTCAGTTCTCGCCGCGGTCTCTGGTTCAATTCGCTTTCACTTTAAGCCGGCTGTCTTGAACAGCTCCCTCGTTGACTCCTCCGTGCCAGGAGCCCCCCCGCTGGGTGCCACTTGATCCGGCCTGCGGATCAATCCGTGGGGTGTACCTGGAGGAGGAACGGGATTAAATAAAGACATAGGGGAGACAAAGAGAGACGGAAGCAAGTCGAGGGAGTCCGATCAAGCCCCGTTTTATTCTGGAAGTGATTACATCTTTTATAGGGAAAGGGCGGGCTGGTGGGACAGGAAGAGGCTATGGGGATGAATACAACAGGGTCACCGTCACATCCTGGTATTTGATGTAAGCAGGAGAGCATTATGGTTAATGTAGGCAGACGCATTGTGCCCATAGGAGAGAGAGAGGCAGGGAGGTAGCAATGGGGCTGTCGCACGGCTCCCTACAGTTGACAGGCTTTCCTTTGCTTTAAAAACTTTAGAAAATCTCTAAAAAATTTGATGTAGTAAAACATAAACTTTTAGAATAATTGATGTAAGTATTGAGTATGGTCACATTGCAGAAGCACATTATTTTAAATACTTATCAAGTGTTTTCAAAGGCTTACAGAAATGTTTTTGAGAGTGAGTTAATGAAGTCAATATTTATTATTTATATACTGTGAACTTCACATTATATTAGGTATTTTGGAACATTTATGAATATGAATTATGTGTTTTTTAATTTTTAAGAAATTCTGAATTAGGAACATAATGGTGTTATAAAATATAGCCTCTAGAGAATAAAGTAATATTGTACTTACCCAAAGTAAATATTAAATTGTCTAATACAGACGATAACTGGGTTTGACATTCAGCAAAACAGCGAGGATGCTTTATGGAAGAGGTGGGACAGTAACAAAGCCTTGATGCTAGAAGTGGTGGTGAATATGCAAAATATATGGGGGTCGGGGGCAATAGTAACATTTCAGAGATGGAAAAGAGCATTTGCTAAGTTGGACAGTGTCAAATACCAAAATTGTTTGTGTAGAGAAAAGATAGGAACAGTCTATTTCAAAGTTAAAACCAAAGTGTTACTCATGAGGTTTATTATTCTAACATAGTAGGTGTTTGGTTAGATTACTGAGGTAAATGCTTTTGTGTTTATTTACATATAAGTATTTTATATGTAAATATTTTACATACAAAATTGTTTCCTATACTGTTGGAGGACATGGATGGGATAGATTGGCTTATACCTTATCTTTTCACTTTTGTGTATTCAGTTCCAAAAGTAATATCTGACATATTATTAGATTTTAGGTTTAGATTAGATTTTAAGTCATTATGTTAATTATTTTACAGGTTCCATTTGGTCTCTTGCTGGAGCCATGCTGTATGCTGTGTATATTGTTATGATTAAAAGAAAAGTAGACAGAGAAGATAAGTTGGATATTCCAATGTTCTTTGGTAAGATTATATTTGTGAGATGGCTTACTTTAAATGATTAACTTAGGATTTGTTTTGATTTTTTTTTAAAAAACCCTCTTAAAGATTATGAAGTTCAGTCTGAATATTTTTCTCTTGCCTTATCATCATTGTATACCTATGAAGCTATACCCATTCTCTTAATGTGTGGTAGAGAAAGGAATTTCTCCTAGCACCTTGTTTTGCATTAATATCTTTAGCTTATGAATCAGTTTCTTCAATGATGTGTCAAAATTGCCCTACAATAAACATGAGACTTTACATGCTATATTACATATTGTATTATTAATGTAACGGCAATATAATACAAGGTTGGAAGCTTTGTATTGGCAAAACTGCCAAAAATGATAAATGTAATACTATTCCAATCTGTATATTTACTTTCATTAAAAATGTGGATCAGCTGGGGTTTAACTCAGCAGCATAAGCGCTTGCCTGGCAAGCATGAGGTCATGAGTTCATCCCCTTATTAAATAAATAGATAAATAAAAAAATAAATAAAAGTTGTGGGCCATTTGAGGGTTTTCCATTTGGATTTTATCTCTTTCATAACATAGATTTTATAAACATTTATTATAAAATTATAAATAAAATTATTATAATAGATTCTCCAAGTGCTCAATATAGTTTCAGGCCTTGATTATTAGGTTATTACAGGTGAAATATCTAATATGATTTTCATTTTTCTTACCTAAAATCAGCCCAGTCCAGAACTTACAGTATTTGTAAGGTTACAAAGAAGGGTAGATTGGCATGGTATCTTCTGAAATCTATCAGAATATAAATAAATAAGTCTGTAGTGAAAGTTTGAAGTGAATCTCACAGGGAATCAGGAAACTTAGAACCTAGCTGTTGCACCTTCATTTATTATATACAGTGCTACCTTGGTTCATGAACTTACTTTGTTCCACAGTTCTCGGGAAGAAGACTACATTTCTGTTTGTGCAAAAAAACTAGCTGCAGTTGTGTTCATGCAGCCAGCTTTTTTGCAGAGTTTGCAAACGAAAACAAAATTTAGCCAAAAGCTTCTATTTGTGGTCGAATTGTTCACAAACCAAAGAGTTTGTGAACCCAAATACCACTGTTCTTATTTGAAAACTGAAGATACTGAATGAGCTGAGTGGCTTCCAAATTCAAATTTGGTGACTTCAGAAAATCTTGAGTGGACTGGAGGAGAAGGTGTGGTTCTTGGACTCTTGCTGCTTTCACTGGGAACATTCCGCTTTGCTGGATTTTTTGCACTATAATTTATAAAAAATATTTTTCCCACTAAAAATAGAGAACAGTATAAATGCCTGCACCCAAGATTGTCAGAAACAAAACATTTGGAAAACAACTGGACTAAATGATAGCCTAAGTTCCTTTTAAGTATAGAATTCAGGAAATATATCTTTACCCAGACAGAATATCTATCATCAAGAACGCAGAAAACAGTGAATGCTGGTGAGGATGCAGGGTGGCGGGAGTTGGGAGGAAGCCTTGTATATCTTTGGTGGGAATGTAAACTAGTACAACTGGTATGGAAATCAGTGTGGAGGTATTTCAACTAAACCACCCATAGAAATACCATTTCACTCATCTGTACCTTTCCTGTGTATATTCCCAAAAGAATTAAAGACATCACATTGTACTGATGCATCCAATACCCATACTGAATAGTGGCCATTTACAGTAGGTAAGCTCTGAAAGTAGCCTAGGTCTCTGTCAACAAATGAATGTGTAAAGAAAATGTAGTATGAGAAAAAGCATGAAATCGTATTGTTTGGAGGAAAATGGATGAAACTTGAGACCATCATGCTAAGTAAAATAAGCTAGACACAAATAGCATGTTTTACTTATATGAGAATGCTAAAATATAAATAAACAAATGAATAAAAGGTGGAATAATGGGAATCTAGAAGGCAGGCTCTTGGAGAGCAGGAAGGTGAGGAGAAGACAGGAATGAAAAGAAATGGAAAATGGTCAAAATGTTACATGCATGAACCAAAATGAACATTACTGTTCTGCATTACAAATACATGAGAAAGAGATAATTTAATGACATTTTAGAGTCATAGAAAATTTCATCTGGTACTTTTTGACTGTTTCAACAAATACTTGAGTCCATAGCCCTTTTTTTTGAACTGGCAAGAAAAATGAATTACTTATCAGCGGAAGTCTCATAGTGTGTAACTCAACATACTGGTCTTTTATGTGATATGAGATGCATAACAATATTGACCTGCTCTGAGCTTAGAATAGGCAGGATTTGAAGAAGTCAGGAATGGCGGAGGCTCTGCAGGCAGGAATGTGAACAAGAGGCATTACAGGGCACAGTAAGTGGATCCGAATAATTGTGCCAGATACCATCAGGAAACAGCAGGAAGGTGTGTAGGGTGAGGTTCTGGAAGATCTGGGGAAGAGGTGAAGTGATTTGACTTTGTCTCTGGATCCAAAAGTAGTTAATTTTTGTGGAATTTCATGGCCTTGGCACTTAATGGAAAATAGATTTGATTCTTGCTAATGCCAGATTTTGGTGTTTTACGTAGAGTGACTTTTAATGTTACTTACTGTAGGTCATGGATCACTTACTGGTTTAAATGTCCTTTGGTGTGTTTGCTTTTTACCACTGCCCTAAGTTAGGGTTTCTAATGCGGACTATGAGGCAGGGGTTTGATCTGCATGGTTTATTAGTTGCGCAGGTGCGGAGTCTTCTGAAGGAAAAGAAGTAGGGAAAGCAGGACAGAAAAGAGGAGAGAACCACATGGTCACTGGTGCAGTTCGTCCAGTGGGAACAGCCGGGGACATAGGTCAGCAGCACAAGCGCTGCCTGGGAAGTGTGAGGGTGCATGTTCCATCCCTGGTACCACAAACAAACAAACAAATGAGTGGGAACAGGGATGCGGGCACAGGTCAGCATGTCTAGGCACACCGCAAGTTGCCCGAGGTTGAGCCAGGAGGCTTGAGCCTTGAGGCCAGCACTGTGACTTTCCCAGTAGTCAGGCAGCCTTTAGGTAGTGGCGTGTGGCATGACGGGGAACAGACATTCTGGGAAAGGCTGACTTGTTTGCTGTCCACTGAGAGTTCTTCAGAGAACACGACAGCTGTGAATCACTCCCAGCCTAGTTACAAGTATTCAGTGGTACAGCAAATATAAAATGTATATTGTAAATTAATTTTCTTTTAAGAAAGCTCTATAGTTACCACCTGAATCTTGTGGCAGATTTGTGACATTAAATTGCATAGAAAAATCCAATGAACATTTCTATAGTATAGTTATTTTTCTTTATAATCTTTACAGGTAATAGTCATTTATAAGCTTAATTTCTGTAGTTACTAATAGTTAACTTTACTGAGTGCCTGCTATGTGTATTTTATAAATGTTTTGGTTAATCTTCCCACCAACCTAAATAATTAAATATTATTTATAGAATGAAAAGTAAGGCTTCAGTCAGGGTCTGCTTCTTGTATCTGGTTAATATTAGTAGGAAGTGGTAGAGTTGGGATCAGAACCCTAACACTCAGACTGTAGAGCACAGACTTTTAGCAGTTAGTCTGCATGTAGTTGAATAGTTATTTGCGTATACATGTTTCCTCACCATTGAGCTTATGAAGTCTGGGAATGCAAGAAACAGGAATTTGTCTTCTTTGGAACCTTTCTTCAGTATTCTTAGGCTAGCACAAGCCCTTTAAATACAAATACAGCCAGATGTGGTGGTGCACACCTTTAATACCAGCACTCTGCAGGCTTAGGAGGATAGCTAAGAGTTTGGGCCAGCCTGGGCTACATAGTGAGTTCAAGGTCAGACTAAACTAGCAAGACTAGCAAGACCCTGTCTCAAAAAACCAAAAAGAATCAATCAGAGTACAAGTTAGCCAGAGGATTAGCTCAGTGGCACAAGCACCTGCCTGGCAAGTGTGAGGTGAGTTTTATCTCCGTTACCAACAAAAGCAAACAAAAAATACAAATACAAGTTGAATGAGAGAGTAAACTACCCAATTCCTCATAATTTAGAACAAATACACAAACTTACACGCACCAGTGAATTCTCTTAAGTTATAGAACACTATATATTATTCTCTAAGATTAAAAACTCTTCACTTTGCATTGTGATTTCTACGTAGTTGCTTCGTGAAGTTGTTCAATACAGGTTTTTCTGGGGTTGACCTCACAAGACTTAAGAAACAAGCTATCAAAATTTACATTTAAGGAAACTTATTGGAGTCCTTAGTGTAAAATCTTATGTTTTCTAATAATAAGAATTACAAGTTTGGAAAATTGAAAAGTTTTAATTTTTATCTCTTTTTTTCCCCCCACATTTAGGTTTTGTAGGTCTGTTTAACCTGCTGCTCTTGTGGCCAGGTTTCTTTTTACTTCATTATACTGGATTTGAGGACTTTGAGTTTCCCAATAAAGTAGTGTTAATGTGCATTATCATTAATGGCCTTATTGGAACGGTTCTTTCAGAGTTCCTGTGGTTGTGGTATGTACGGTTTATACTTCTGTGACAGATTAGTTATCAATGTCTTGACTTTCGCATTGTCTAAGTATAAACATGTTCCTTTTGACTTGTGGCCCTCTCTCCATGCATGTGCTTGCCTGTATTAACTCTTTAGAGCAAGGATATTGTACTTAACTTTTCTGTGCCCATTGTGAAGAGTAGTGCCTTACACATAGAAGGATCACAGAAATACTTACTGAACAAGTGAATGCAAAGGCATGAGCGAAAAATATGAAGTTCTAAACTTGTAAAAATGTGTTAGAAAGCAGAGTACTTTGTGAATGAAACTGGTGATTATCTAATGGACATCCAGACTTTTGAGATGTCTGTGCCAAATATTTACTTATGATTCTAAGGGAGAAGCTAGGGAATGTTGTTTACTTAAGACACTTTGATTGTTCCTCCACTTTTTTGTTTGTTTCTTTTCAAGATCAGAAATGTAAATCATAAACTGGTTAATTTGAAATGTTAATATATTTTAATATTATTGTTAAATATATTGACTGTGATAAGCTTAAAATAAGTTTGGACACAGTATCATGTATGGAGTTTGAGAGACCTTTTAAATACAGACTATACTTTTTACTTTTCTATTCAATAGAGATTGTGAAAAAAATTCACAAATTTTAATACATAATTCCCAAATGAATTTTATTACATATCAAATAGAACTACTGAGTAGTTTTCCCTTGCAAAAGACTACAAAGCAGATAGCTTTTCCCATGAGGTCTCCTTCAGAGCTCTGCCTGCACTTTTCTCCCCACTTCCTAATTCAAGAAATCTGTTTTCTCGATAATCCTCCCTACACACCCCTTTTGTGTATTGCAGATTAGTTTGTATTGTAATTTATGTACTACTTTGCTGTTGCAAAACTTAATATGAGTTTATTTACTCAATTCATTTTTATATTCATTACATGCATTTTATGTGTTCTGTTGTTTTTAATCTAAAAATTAATTGATAACAAAAAGATTCAACATTAGCTAACTAGGGAAAAGCTAGATTAAGTCAAAATTTTAATGCTATTGGGTTTTACTTTTTTAAATTTTAAATTTTAAAATATGTGCTAAGTTTTAAAAGGTGGTAACTTATTTTCTTCTTATATACCCTAGTGGCTTATTTATGTCTGTTTGGTGTATTTTTTTCAACTGTACAAACTTTTATGCAGATATTTTAGAATTTGTTGCAACATTGGTAATTCATAGTGAAAGGAAAACAAAGAGCTTAGCTTTTGGTTAGGACAATTGTTAGATAAATCAAAAATAGGAAAATTGTCGTTAAAGTACTTGGTTTTCTTTTCTGTGCTAAGCCAAGGCAGTAACACATTGTTTAATTTTCTTCATAATGAGATTTTTTTTGCTTTGGTTATAGTCACATGTTGGCATATCACTTTCGACAGTCTATCTATGAGGTACTGTTCTATAATCTTAATACTCTGTTTTCATTGTTAATCAAATGTTTAAAAAAACTATAAAAACTAACGATCTTTTACATTAATGAAAACAGTAAATATTCCAAGTTGGACACTATCTGTAGTCAGAACTGAAAAATAGCATAAAATACTTTGAACTTTCTATACTTATTAATACTTTAATATTTGAAGATAAACTTTGGAATCATTTTAATGACATTAATTTTTGAGTCTCAGTCCGTCCTAAATTTTTGTCTCCTTGATCTCTCAACCCTATAGTTTGGGAGAGAAAAATCTTGGTTAAATTGTATTTTAAATATAGAAAAATTTTTTTCCAGGGGCTGCTTTCTTACCTCATCATTGATCGGCACCCTTGCCCTGAGCCTTACAATACCTCTATCCATAATAGCTGATATGTGTATGCAAAAGGTAAGACAAACTACTTATTTTAGGTATTTTAAGTATGATATTAAAACAGATCTGTTGAAAGCTAAAGGAGGTAACTAAAGTACAGTGAATATAAACATGAATAATATTTTTGTATCTTTTTTCCTAAGGTACTTTACTATGCAGAAATATAAAAAGTACCAAAGAAAAGCATTTCTAGCTTTTCTTTTTTTTTTCTGAATTTCTAGGTTAAGGACAGTATTTTTATATGTAATACTCTAGTTTCGAATTGATTATGTTCTAGATGTCTCTGTTCTAAATCAGTGGTATGGAACAGGCGGTACTTTTTTGTTTTCTTTTGGTAACCGGAGTTGAACTCAGGACCTTCTGCTTGCCAGGCAGGCGCTGTACTGTTAAGCTATATGGACAGCCCAGGAGGTACATTTTACTACATCTCTGAGTTAACTTGGGAGATGTTAAACCTTTAACATTGTGACAGTACTGCTATAGAATTGAGCAGCTCATAAATAATGTGGTTCCCAGGGAGTGTTTATTTCAGTAGATAGGTGTCCTTCCCTTTCCTAAGGAGACTTGCTGTGGATGCAGGATTCTGATGATAAATACTGGCAGTGATGACATCACAGAAAAGAGATGTCTTCTGCTACCATCTTTGAAGGGTATCCTCCTTGAGTAGCAGGAGGAAAGAGACATGCCTTTGCCTAATGCTGAAAGATGGATGAGAGCCACTTAGCAGTCAGTACTTGTAAGCTTCAAGTAACAACAGTGTGTATGTGAGTGTGTTTTGATTTAATATAAGTAGAAAAGAGAATACTTAAGATCAAGGGCTTATAATATACAAATAATACTCTGATTCTGAGAGCTGTTTTTCTCTAGGTATTTGTGTTTTTGTGGGATAAAGGCAGAATAATCTCAGAGATGTTCTCATTATTTGAAAAGCAGTTCTGTGCTGATGTTTCTAGCTTATTAAATGTTCTGGAAAATATTCAAAAACAGTTAGTTTACCAATGACTTGACAACTAACTGAAGGCTTATTAATTTCTCTTAGTAACTACTCTTACCTGGTATTTTTAGGTCTGCTTAGTCCCTAGTGTTCGAGTATCATACAAATGGGGCGTTAAACATTGTCTGTGATTATTCTTGTGTTGTGTTATGCATTGTGTTCCTCATAAAAGACATTATTCTCATGTTTTACTCTGATTAATGAATGGTGTATGTTTTCCACAAGAAGGAGTCTTGCTTATAAAATCTAAATTTTTTCTTTTACTTTTCTTTTTAACTCGAAGAGCAAAAACAGTTTTTCTTCCCTGTTTTAAAGATAGGCGTTACTTTATTCATCATCATTCTTAAAGCAAACCAACAATGATGTTGCTCCTGTCTCGGAGTTAATCAGCACACAGGTTTTAAAAGTTGTTTTTGATAACTACTTTATTGTAATCCCAAATTCTGTGTACAGTCACCCAAGTATTGTAATCCCTTTCCCAGTCTTCCTCACAATCCAAAAGTTGTATTTATGCTCCCATTGAGATGTTATTGGAATCCCGGTAAGTTAATTACAATCTACCATTCCAGTGCCACCGATGGCAAGTAAAGACAATAAGACATATTCCAAGTTAAGGGCAGCTAAGGGGTGCTAAGTCCAGTCCTCATGAGGATGTGCGGTCAAAGGCCCTGATCCTAGGCCTCTCCCAGAATTTATTACCTTGTGAAGAAGGGGATAGCTCGAGGGTGGTGGGAAGTACCTGAGTAACTGGAGCAGGTTAGCCAGGTAGGGAGAAAAGCATCTTTGCAAGATGCAGAGATAAGGATATAAAGAAGGATCAATTTGCATAATTTAATTAAGGTAGCAACTGAATTGTTTTAGGGGGCTGCTGCTTTGGTTTCTGATATGTAAACTTGCGTGCCCTGGAGAGTCACAGCCTCTTTTATCTTGAGGCACATACCCAGTTGACATTCCTGGAGCTGACTGGCTCTACCATCCCACTGTGCTTATGTATTTTAGAGAGTGCGCTGTGGCGAGGAAACAGGAGGCTGATGGCTTTAGAGATTGCATACCAGTACCTCTGCTAGCAATGCTTAGAGCCAGTTGAAGAGAGAAGGAAACACCATAGCCCGCTCTGTACATATCAGTATAAGGAAATAAGTCTCCATATAATCAAAGTTATAGCAATTGTTCTGCAGTCAAGGGGAGTCACTCAAATTGCCTCCCACATTGCTTGAGTTCAGATGGTGCCACCATGCGCAGCTTAAACTGTGAAGTTCTGAAGATGAAACCAAGGGGGAGGAATTCACCTGAGAATAGGCAGTAGACTAAAGCAGAAGTGCAAATGTGTGCAGGACAAAAGTGTCGTTTTTTAGGTGGTCTTACTCTTGGCGTACTCTGCCTAGTGAATGAGTAAGTATCCCTTCTTGGTTCTTTCACATTTCCCAAGCAAGACTTATTGGCAATTTAGGCAAGTGGAATTGTAAGTTGAAGGCCTAAATTCTTTTATTTTATGATAAAGTACTTAATAGTGCCTTTTCAATGCTTACTCTTATCTTCTTTGTGTTTTAACGTAGTCTTACTAGAATTTATAGATGGAAAACTTACATAAAGGGAAAAATTCCCTTAATGGTATTTTTTTTCTGGATCTTATTTTTAGGTGCAGTTTTCTTGGCTGTTTTTCGCAGGCGCTGTCCCTGTGTTTGTTTCATTCTTTATTGCAACTCTCCTGTGCCATTATAATAATTGGGATCCTGTGATGGTAGGAATCAGAAGAATTTTTGCATTTATATGCAGAAAACATCGAATTCAGAGGTAAGTTTAGTTTCTATATAGATTGTTACAAAGTATTTGCTAAATGAAATGAACATTGTCTCATACTTCCTTAACTTTTAGACATTTTGTGAGAAATTAGTCAAGGATTATAATTTATCTTGGTATTATGCCAGAGAAAAATATTTTTGCTCAGGTCGTTTTAGTCATAAGATAGTTTCTTCAGGGTTGGGGATATAGTTCAGCTGGCACAGCACCTGCCTGGCAAACATGAGGCCCTAAGTTCAATTCCCAGTACCAGAAAAGAAAATAGTAAAATAAAGACCAAAAACCAAAAAGACAGTTTATTCATTGCTACTTTTTAATAAAAAATGTTTTAACTGATGGGTAACACCAAAGGGCTTACTGTTTTTCTGTAATGAATTTGTTGTAGAAAACATATTGGTTTGAGCATAATTCATAAGAGAATATGTTAACATTGCCTCAGATTTTCTTTTTAAAATTTCTTTCTTTTTAAGAGAGAATGAAGCTGGATATAGAGTAATACCAACACTCTGGGAGGCCCTGTCTCAGAGTAAAACATTAAAGAAAGAACTGAGGATGTAGCTCAGTGCAAAGGGTGTGGGTTGAATTCCCAGTACTGCAAAAATAAAGAGAATGCGTTTTACATTTTGTACAAAAATAACATGAGATAAATTGTTGGGGACTCCTATGCTACTTTTGCTTCCACAACTGATTTAAATCCTGACTTCACAGCTTCAATCAGTATAATAGATCATGTTGAAGATTCCCTTTCAAATCTAAGTTAAGCTTTTTCTTGTTTTTTGTTCCTTCAGAGCGCCAGAAGACAGTGAACAGTGTGAGAGTCTTATTCCTATGCATGGTGTTTCTCAGGAGGATGGAGCTAGTTAGCTGCTGTTGTCTGTAGTTCAGGTTTGTATGTGAGCTGGCATCAGTGTTGAATTAAGCTTCTTACCTTCATAATATATAAAAAGAAATTTCATAATTAGATATTTGACAGGCAATACAGCCAAAGGCAGTATAATCTCTGGAGTCAAAGTGCTTGTGTTTTAATTCCAGCTTTTTGTGTGCTGATTGTGTGGCCATATATAAATTTCTTAACCTCTTTATGCCTCAGTTTTCCTGTTTGTGAAATGGTAGCCTCCCATAGAAGACTGTTAGAAATATGAAATACTTGGTAATTAAATTAGGGTCTGATTCATTAAGTGATCATTAAGTTTTAACATTCATTTTTATTGCTAAGAATCACTTTTTAAAAATGATATACTCTAGCAAAATATTTTTTCTCTATTATTAAAAAAATGTGGTAATTTAGTGTATAATCAGTGTTTTGGGTATCTAGTACAACATAAATGCTGATTCTGTGATTGATTTTTTTTTTTTTTTTTTTTTTGGTACTGGGGATTGAACTCACAACTCTACACTTGCCAGGCAGATACTTGTGGTGCTGAGCTAAATCCCTGGCCCTGCTTTTTCATTTAACAAAGTTTTAGGGACATTTTTTCATATTAAAAATTTTAAGAAATACTATCTTTTGTTATTTTTTGAAGGACACGGATAGTACATGGCACTTAATGATTTGTTAATGAATGCTTGAAATAAATCCAATATATATCTTTGGCATGTATAGAGCTGGTTCTTTATTTAGAACAGTAGAACACTGTCAATCACTAGAGTTCTGGAGGTTTTCTGTTCCTTCCTTCTGCGTTATCTTTAGGCAGTTTCTATTGAAATGTTTTGCAGCTGAAGCAAGGTTTTCCCTACCACTTAGAATGTTGTGCAGCTATTGTCAACACTCATTTTGGCCTTGAGTCTTAAGTTTCACGGTAAATTTGCCTCTAGTATGTGGTAGCATATACCTGTGAGAGGCTGAGTCAAGAGGGTTACCATGAGCACAAAGAGAGCCTGGGCAAGCCTAGTGAGTTCAAGGCCACTGTCTAAAAAAAAGAAAAACAAAAACGTTCAAGGCCACTGTCTTAAAAAAAAGAAAAACAAAAACGAGTTGGAATTTACCTTCCATCTCAGGCCGATTATCTTCTTTTTTTTTCCTTCCCTTAGAGTTAAGCATTAAGCCTAGTGTCTCTCTCACATGTCCTGGGTAGCCCTGACCACGGAGCTGGACCCCTACTCCTCTGAGTTGTTTTTAGTGTAGTTAGTATTGCCATGATGGTTACATGTGCACGTAGCTTGAGTTCTGATTCTGAGCCTTCTTGTACAAAGCAGCTTCCTCTGACCCACCCTCCCGGTCCTGCCTTTCTTTTCCTAGTCTGTAAGGAAATCACCGTAAACCCTTAGATGATTCTTTTGGTATGTACCTCCCAGTATCTTTGTATACACTGTTTCCATGTCTTGTTCTCTCCATCGAGGGAATCCTCACTGACTTTCTCACTCATGTGGATGAGGAACTCTGTTCCCACCCCACAGATGAGCCTGCTCTCAGTCCTGTGTCTTTCCTACCGCTCCCTCCTCGCTATATAGTTTCTTTATAGTTTCTGATTTATATTTACTGTTTATATTTTTACAACTAAATAAATGTTAATTACCAAGCCATGTAGAATACTACCTGGTATTTTTCTAGTCCAGGGACCCTATATATCATGACGTAGCTATTTCAGTATTAAGATCAAATTCAATGGCTGGGAATTATACGGAAATTTGATTTGGTTCTCATCCAATTTGGTTTTCAACCAGAATCATGGAAAAAATTAAGTTGAACTGAGGTACCACTGTAATTTACTTTTAAAAATATAAACTATAGAAGGTAAAAACTATGAAAATTAAAAGCTAACAATGTCTATTTTTTTGTTCTGCTTTGTTTTTAGCCTGGTGATGGAATATTATACAGCGAAGAGACAATCTCTGGCAAGTTTTTGTAGAAAAATGTTTCAGTGCCTAGTCTGAAAAAATAACAGTTTCAGTTCTTTGAAACTCTAAATATATTTTCCTCATATCTTTTCTTCATTTTCATAATGAAGTACTTTACTATATAGTTGTGTACATATCACTACAATTACAGGATGTTCCAGACCACAGTCCATCTAAAGGACTACCCTGCCTTATATATCTCAAGAATTTGAGTTGAAGAAATCATTTAACTAATCAAGGAACAAAATCCTAATGTTCTGAAGGTTTATTTTCATGTATTTGTTAAATGCTGGACTATATTATAAAAATGTTTTCAAGAAATCATTTTAAGTATGTAGATCACTGTGTCTGGCTGGTAAAATGTTTAACATAAGCAGCTGACAGTACCACGGATTGTATTATTGAGTTTGGTAGGGTATCACAAATTAACTACACAGAAAAAAATGTTTATATAACAAGTGTGTTCTTGCAAATTTGGTGAAATTTCAAAGAGAATAAATATTTGAGAAAAGATCTGGTAACCTTACACTACATATACCATATTTCATAGCATTAGGTGCCTTGTATTTTAAAAGTGTGACAAACATGACAAATTTTGAAGGGGAAGTATTATAAAATGAAAAACTGTGTATTTCTAATGGCTGTATGCTATAAATTTAATTGATAAAACTCTGTTTAATTTAGAGTTTTAAAGAAATATTCTATCTTCAATTAAATTTTCATAATGGAATGATTAAATTGAAGTGTTAGAGTATTACTAAAATAAAATGTTTATATGTGTGTGTTTCTGATATAGATGTTCAGTGATTTCACACTGTGTAATGTGCCAGATTAGAACTGGGTGCTTCTTTAAATAACTTGTTTTCCTAAGTAAAATTTTGGTGGATAAAACATCAAAAATGAAAGTCAAGGAGTGATGTACTTTTAAAATTACATTTGAGTTTTTCGCCAAGATTAAATTAAATATAAAATATTCCTAATGGCAAACTCTTAAATACAGGTCTTGCTTGCACTTACCCATCTGTTCCTGGCCTCTGTTCACTATAAGGGAACATATGTCTTGGAATTCACAGGCTTTCAATTACTCAGAATCCATCCCCTTTTCAAGGTTTGTGAGAATAGTTTAGTTCTCTGTAAAATTTTTTTTTAATGAATCTGATTTGTAAAATCTCACTTTGCAGAGCCCCACTTCAGTTTATCCTGTACACATCCTTAAAGTTGCTTACCTGTTACCCTGAGTCTGAAATGAAGTTTAGCCATCTTTCCACATAGTCCCGAGAACTTTTGTATTATATTAATTGAAAAGGTTGTGCTATTAAAATGAAAAACAGACGGGTGCTACCAATAATTCTAAACTTAAAAATGTTGGTTTTGTTACACTTTGTCCTGTTTAACTTGACAGGATAAAAGCATGTAAGACATAGGAACTTCTGTGAAATTTCCTTTTAGCAAGAACTTCCTGAAATAACATTTCAGTTACTCAGTGACTAATTCTGGTTGAAGTTTATTCATTTTTGTTTTTGCCATTCAACAGCTCACAAAGATCTTTTCACAGGGCAAAATAGTTGAGGCAAAGGAGCTAAAACTAAAATTTTAAATAATTCTTAAAATATGATAGGAATAGAAGTTAAACTTAGCAGGGTTTTTTGGTGATTGCTCATGTACACTGTGCTCACATCACACGTTGTGTTGTTACTTAGGATTGTAGAACTGGTTCGTAGGTCTTTGTTAATCTGCTGTGCAGATCTTTCCGAGGCACTCCTCCACTGGACTGCTGCCTTGTAATTGATAACTGTCAGAAACCTCTGCCACTAACCTAGTTAGCCGAGCAAGTGAGTAACTGCTGCTTCGCTTGCCTTCCTATTATCTTCTCTCTCGAGGCTTGCTTTTCTGGATGCTTGTTGTATCTGAATACTGTAGACTAGAGAGTGAGCACTTAAAGACCTCCTTGCTGCATATTTGTATTTAAGTGTTTAGCCTGTCAAGAAGCTGAGTATTGGAAGCTGGGTGCCCTGGTGTCTGTGGGTGACGTCAGCTTCTCAGGAGGCTGAAGCAAGAAATTCTCTAAAGCCCAAGAGTTTAGAGACAATCTGGGCAGCATAAAGAGACCCTGTCTCTCGAACAAACAAAAGTGCTGGCCCGGTTTCCTTCTGGGGATTGTCTGAAAGTAGGCAGCAAGGCCCTGGGGTCACAGTGTCTGTGTTGCTTTGGGAATGCTGGTGAAAAGTCACTTTCCAACTACTGCTTATGTTTCTCCCCTTTTAGGAAAATTCTGGCCTCTAGTTACATTTTTCTGAATCTAAAGATACATGGGGATTTCTCATACTTTATTTCAGTCTTTACTTTTCTCTTCATAAATGATTTAAATCCCATCATTGTATATTTCAAATTATAACCTTGATTGAAGGAAGCTATTTTGTCACAGACTTGCTCTTAAATGATCATTAAAATCTCAAGCACAGTGAAATTGCAAAGTGAGGCAGCTTTACAGGTGCTTGGCTGAATGCTTTCTGGGGCTTAGAAAGGCCATTATGTATGTGTAATACACCTATATTTATTCCTTTAAATAAATTTTGATTTTTTAAAATTGATATATTGGTTTCTGTCATCCTGGCTTAGTTAATTCCTTATGTTAAAGTTTTTCCCTGAAATTTGATGAATGGAGTTCATTGTTTTGTAGCTGAACTCTGAGCTTTCAAGGTTAAATGTGAGTATTCTAAAAGGTACACAGCCTTGCTTCAGGAAAAATGCGAATGCCCACTTTAAAAGCAGTCAGGCAGAGCCAGCTGGGTTGGAAGGTATGACTCCTCTGGAAGTCAGGTTTTCTGAAAAGGCCAGTAGCACTAATCCTTAGTTTGCTGGCTGAGGAGCTAAAATGTCTGTAAAGAAGGATAAAGAAGAGAATTATAAATTAGTGTTTTTCCAAAACCTTATTAGCAAATAAGTGTTATTTTGAATTTATGCAGTTCTGGTTGTTATGATTCTGCTACATTTCTCCCTGCTCTCCTTTTGAAATATTCTTTTTTACTAAATAATATTTCAGGGAGAATCTACAGAAATAGGAGATGAATATTATCTGACATTTACACACTTACATGGGTAAAATACTGTATGCTGACTTGTGATACTGCATTTATGAATTTTTCAGATTAAAGAATTTGAAATTGAGTTTACTTTTGTTTTCTAAAGGCATACTTTTGTAGTTGAGGCTGAACTTGGAACTTGCAGTGATCCTTCTGCCTCAGCCCCAAGCTCTGGGATTACAGGTGTGCACCACCATGCCAGTTTAGAGTTCTATTTTAATATGTCTTTCGTGTTCTAACAATTCCATTTAGATAAATTGAAGTAGATTTTTTACATTGATATGGAATTTTTAAAAACCATGTCTTATTTCATAGTATCAATCTTATTTGCTTATACAAGAATTAATAGCATAGATACACTGTATATACACAGAATTTTCCTTTACATCTCAAGAACCTTTAATAAATGGGATAGACAAAGAGTTTACTATAAAGTAGAAACAAATAATTACCTTGGAAGTTTGCTGTTATTTTAATAGGGAACCTCTTTGTTTTATCATCATGAATAAAGATTGCCTGAAAGTAGAAATGTTTATTTTACCTTTAACTCCTCTTGATTACCTTGTTTTCATTCTGAGTTTTTGGTTATCTAAAAATTGTTGGTTTATATATCTGTAAACATTTTAATATTCACTACATTTAAAAATTATTTTCTATAAAATTTCCTATATTCAGTATATATATATATATGTTAGAATGTCAAATGAATCACTGACATATATTTAAAGAAAAGTTGCCTACGCAAAATAATTAGTACTCTCTGGTGAGGCATACTTGCCAAAATGTTCATGTGAAGTGGTAGCATCTTTTGTAGGAATATTTTGAATTTACAGTGCAACACATATGATTTTTCTTTAGGGTTGGAGTTTAGGGCAAAGAAACACTTAGATAAAGGCAACGTTTCCTTTATGGTTTTTTGAAGTTGGAAAAGGGAAATTTCCAAACAGATTTTTTACAAGTTTTCAGTTTTTAATTTAATTTCATACATGATTTCTTGCTTAACAGCCAGCTACTTTTATTAACTTTTAGATCCTTGAATGTTAAGCATTCAATATTTCTCTACTTGGTTCTCTTGTACCTAGTGTTAATTATGGTGAGTAATAATAAAGTCATTTGTGTGAGAGGATCCATTAATTTCAGTAGGTCCTTGCAAGGCAGGCAGAACATTTATCTCAAGAGTCTTAGACATTAGGCAAAAAAAAAGTCTTTTTAGGTTCTTACTGCTTCCTTGGCATAGCTTTTTTTTTTTTTTTTTTTTAATGAGGAAAATCCAGTGACAATCAGACTACATAAATATATCCAACTTTTTACTTAGGGCTAGCATTGAAAGATTTTTCTAAAATAAAGTATAATACTCTAAATTGTTTTGACCTCAAGTAATGTGACTTGAAACTGTTTTTTTTTTGGTACTGGAAATCAAACTCATGACCTTGTGCTTGCCAGGCAGAATTGTGTGCCACTGAGCTATATCCCCAGCCATCTCCAAAGTAATATGTAAATTGCATGGGTACTCTTCAACTTATATCCTAGATGTCCATCATAAGTTAATATTTAAAGTTGAAAATGCTTAATACACCTAACCTACTAATTGTTGTAGCTTAGTAACAGTACACTGTAAGGTGTCACCTTAACCCTGTGATTGTAGGCTGAGTGAAGAGTTGTAGCTCTGTTGCTGTCCAGCATATTGCTAGCCAGAAAAAGATGAAAATTCAAAATGCATATGCTACTGCATATGTATCATGTTTTTGCCATTATAAAGTCAAAATATTGTTCAGTCAAATAATTCTAAGGAACCCAAAAATGTTGCTGAGACAGACTGTTTTTCTATATACTCCAAGTAAACCTCTAAGGGCAATGTGTGTTAGAGCATGCTTCAGCTCATCACTGAGTGGGCTATTGGGCATAGATCAGAGTGTCACAGGCTAAGAACTCCTGGGAACCTGCATTTCTAACAACTCTCCAGGCAATGCTACTTGTTCCAAGGTCACACTGAATTACTACCGTGAGGAAGAGTATTAACTTTGGCTGTGCATGGTGGTGTACACCTGTAATTCCAGGACTTTAGAGGCAGGAGGATCACTGTATTTGAGGCCATCCTACGCTCTGAGTTTCAGAGCAACCTGAATTGCATGGTGATAATGGATCTCAAAAAAAACAAAAAAGAACTAACTTTTAAGTTGGAGTCCCTCTGTGCCCATTAGCAAATTTATTTGGGGGGAAATTATTTTAAACTAGTGGGTCTGCATTTTCTAGTGGAGAAGTCCAGGTTAATGCTTCCTGCCTGAGAATTACAATATTTCCCTTATATTATTTAGATTATTTGGCAGTTGTGTTGCTGTAGGGAAACTAACTCCCAACCTGCTAGATATCCAAAATGCAAAATTTATGTTCTCTAAAATCAAAGAGTGAATGCTAGGAACAGTGGAGGTTGAGAGTAGGAAGAATTTATTAAGAGAAAGGAAGCTTCTAAGAGGAACAAAAGGGGACCTGGAAAGTGGGTTGCCTGCCAACCCTACTTCTCAGGGGTGTTTATTGAGCAAAGTTATGAGGGGAGGAGGGTTTAAGGTGGGACAGAACTATAACCAAGATTGTAAGTATGGCTGCTTAGATAATATTGATCCAATGGGAAATCCCACTGGGTATGAGGTGGGACAAGATTGGTGAACCAATAAGGTTACGACAAATATAGTTGCATAGATAATACTGATTAAATGGGGATCAAATTGGGAAGAAGATCATGTAGAAAGTGCACACAGGATTGACAAGGGCGGTGAATAAGAAGGTCTGGTGTTTAATTCCAAGGTGGTTGGTGCCTACTTAGAATATCAATCCCTGCTGTTCATCCTTATGGGAAATATATGGGTGAGCAGTTCTTTTCCTTGAAGCCTGGCCTCAGTGGACATGCTGCCAGCTACAGGTGTCTTCTGCATTGATTTTGCCAGGTCCTATCCATCTGACTGCCTACGATGTTTTTACCTAACTTAGCTATCTGTGACACTATGTCATATGCTCTTTATCAGTATAACATGAAATATCTGTTACAAGGAAAAAACTTAAATACCCAAATACACTGTACATTAAAGTTTTGTTTTGTTTTGTTTTTTCAGTACTGGGGATTGAACTCATGACCTCGTGCTTGCCAGGCAGGCACTTACGCCACTGAGCCCATATTAAAGGTTTAAGTAGCATAATCAAGTGAGTTAATATGTAAGTTAGCATTAGAAGTTAGGCACTAATACTTGTGTAAGATTGTGTGTTTAAATTTCCATTTTATTCTTTTCTATTTTTGGAGTCAGCCTGGGAAAAATCTTGAAGGTTTGTTTCAATGTAGGAAATCTTTGATCTTGCTTTTAGTAGGTCACCTGTAGCTGGTAAATCAAAGCTAAAATTATCAAGTGTCATACTGAGAGTCATCTATAGGGCATGAGTTCATTATTCTGGTCAAATTGTAGCATTTTAATTTTATTTGATAGGTCTGTATTGAGTAACCAGTAGATATGTACAGATGCTCCCAGAAACGATGATAGAGAAATCAAGTCACCTCAATAACCGGAACGAGAAGACCAGAAGTCATAAACAGTATAGAAAGATGAAATGTTAATGAAAAATTAAGAACATAGTGTTTGAGATACATATTTTCTTGATTGTAATTTAATGCAAGTTTTTGCCACAATTGTGTTATAACATGATCCTGTTGTTCATCTGTCTTGGTTACTTTTCTCTCTTTGCTAAGGCAAAATATCCAACAAAGTTAGAGAAAGGTTTTTAGCTCAGTTTGTGGAGATTTCAGTCTGTACTTGGCTAACTCCAAGGTAGCATGGCACATGGCAGAAGGCCACAGTGCATGGTGGCAGAAAACAGTAAAGGCAGCAAGAGCAAAAAGGGAAGAGCGAGAGAGGACTCCGTCCCTTATATTGTATGCAGGCCAGCACTCCTACCCATAATTCCATCATTGAACCAACAGTCAGTCTCCAGCTAGAAACCTGCCCCCATGACTATATGAGGCTTTGGGGGAGCATCCAAACACAAACCATAGCATCCTCTATCTTCTTAATGAAGTGAACATTTTCAGATCCTGGAGTATTTAAAATTTAAACTCAACTATAACATTAATGCTAATTACTACTGATGTTATGATTTAGGGCCAAACCTAATCTGATTTGGTATACAGTTTGGTATGCTTTTATTTTTGCTTTTATCCTCTTTTGTTTGGCCCAGGTTCACTCTGCAAAATAATTTATGTTGTATAACTTGGGAAACATTATAGTCAAATATAAAATATGTAGTAATTATTTTAATGCATTTGTGAAAAATCATTTATAGGGTTTTTTGTTTGTTTGTTTTGTACCAGCGCTTGCCAGGCAGGCGCTTATGCCACTAAGCTAAACCCCTGGCCCTGTTTCAGTGTTTTTGAGAAAGGGTCTCTATGTAGTCCAAGTTGGCCTTGAACTTTTGAGTGTCCCCCTGCCTCAGCTTCCGCAGTGCTGGAATTACAGGTGTGTGCCACT